TATTCTCATCGGGTTGGTTTGGCTGTGCTAGTCCGGGTGGGAGTGTCGGTCTGCCTGGGGCATGGACACCAGATTCAGGATTAAAAGGTGTTCTCCCAGGAACTTCTCCGTTTGGATTGTTCCCATTGGGAAACTCTGAGCTTAATGAAGGTTGATTTGGACTCTGAGACCCTGGACCAAAAGGTGGTTTTCCCGGGATATTCAAATTTGGGCGTTCTGGATATGAGCCTGGTACTTCCTGAGAAGGTCTGTTAGGTGTTTCCGATCCAGGTCCAAATGGATGTTTACTAGGAATATTGTTGTTAGGCACATTGGGGTTGTTTGAACTTGGACCGAATGGCTCTCTATTCTTATCGAGTTGATTTGGCTGCCCTAGTCTTGGTGGGATAGTCGGTCTGCCTGGAGCATTATTACCAGAATCAGGATTGAAAGGTGTTCTTCCAGGAACTTCTCCGTTTGGATTGTTCCCATTGGGAAACTCTGAGCTTAATGAAGGTTGATTTGGACTCTGAGACCCTGGACCGAAAGGTGGTCTTTCCGGAATGTTTGAATTTGGGCGTTCGGGATATGAGCCTGGTATTTCCTGAGAAGGTCTCTTAGGTGTTTCCGATCCAGGTCCAAAAGGATTTCTACTAGGAATATTGTTGTTAGGCACATTGGGATTGTTTGAACTTGGACCAAATGGCTCTCTATTCTCATCGGGTTGGTTTGGCTGCCCTAGTCTTGGTGGGAGTCTGGGTCTGCCTGGAGCATTATTACCAGAATCAGGATTGAAAGGTGTACTTCCAGGAACTTCTCCGTTTGGATTGTTCCCCTTGGGAAACTCCGAGCCTGATGGAGGTTGGTTTGGATTCTGAGACCCTGGACCGAAAGGTGATCTTTCCGGAATATTTGAATTTGGGCGTTCGNTGATCTTTCCGGAATATTTGAATTTGGGCGTTCGGGATGTGAGCCTGGTACTTCCTGAGAAGGTCTGTTAGGTGTTTCCGATCCAGGTCCAAAGGGATTTCTATTAGGAATATTGTTGTTAGGCTCATTGGGATTGTTTGAACTTGGACCAAATGGCTCTCTATTCTCATCGGGTTGGTTTGGCTGTGCTAGTCCGGGTGGGAGTGTCGGTCTGCCTGG